CATTTTATATACATATATATATAGATTAAAAGTGTTTTTGTTCTTTACTTTTATGTAGTTTAATACAATGATAATTTTGTAGCAACATTACATTACTTGTCATTTCTATAATATACATATATATATATATTCATCCACCATATCATCTATTGATCTTTTTATTCAAATACTTTAATTTGTATGCATTGATTTTTTTAATAACATGAGCAAATTATTAGATAACATCGTGAACATAGCAACTTTATTTCTATAATCCCAGTATCCTAATTGTACACGTATTTAGACTTGTATCACATAAAAAAAATATAAGATATCTCGACTCCAATTGGCTTTTATAGTATTGGATTCTCCCATCTTAATTTCTAACTCCCATGATATGATTCTCCCAACGTTGGTATCAGCATTTAACTTGGTTTTTGGTATTGTCGCATTGGGAGTGGAGAATTAATACCGAGGCAACGCAATATGGCAATAAGAAATCCATTCTTTTGCCGAGAGAAATGATTCACAAGTCTTCATGGGTTGCTCTTTTTGTGGGGATATGGGGTGTGACTATTGACCAATGATCATTAGTTTTATAGTGTGATTCGGAAGCTTTTTGGGATGGGGACTCCAAGGCCAGACCAAAACCACTAATGCGCAATCAAAAATAGGATTAAAACATAATCACAATTTTAATCACGACCTAGATCACATAATTGTCAAAAGGCTCAAAACCTATGACCTTTTGGCAAGTAATAATCAACTAACACACCATAAGTGGATTTAGGCAAAAGGGTTTGAATTACTTTCTTAACAATAATTACTTTAATACCCACTTTGATATATAATTCTTGTAATCAAATGATAATGGTATGAATACAATTTTTATGTGTATAAATATTTTATATAATACAATGTAATATTAAATAAGTAAATAAACACTAATTCATTTGTAATTTTCATATTTTACATGCAATTATATATAAAAAAAAATCATATGAACTCATTTTCCTTAATAAAAATAGTGGTCATGGAAGATGTAATCAGATTAGACTTTTTAGCTTCTTTTAATTCATTTTTTATATTATTTTCTCACTCGGTTTTTTGACTTATAGTTTTGTTTTCATGTGGAAGTTTTTATAGATTCATCCCCTCAAAATAATTATAATTTTGTGGATTTAGACTTTGGTTGGAGATGCTCACTTCAACCACTTTTTTCTAAGTATATCTCATTATTTTATTGAAGAAATTATTACTATTTTAATCATCCCATACATAAATCCAAAAAAAAAAAACAATATATATATATATAGACACAAATACACAACGATGGACAATAAGATTAAATACGTATAAGAAATGGATTAATTTATTAGGGTTGAAAAAAAAAAAAAACAATATATATATATAGACACAAATACACAACGATGGACAATAAGATTAAATACGTATAAGAAATGGATTAATTTATTAGGGTTGAAAATAGGACAATTAGAGCAAGTTAAGTCAACAATGTTTAGAATAAAAAACCTTATGGAGTTGTCTTCTTTGTGTGAATTAGGCTTGGAGTTTGTCTAAACTACATGTTCATCTACATCACCATAAGTCAATCATAGGTGTAGTTCTAGAAGAGTTTTGTAACATATTGTCCGTAATGTGTTTCGACCTAACAATAATTAATTACTTCAAAATTTAAGGTTTATTATAGTGTGTATAGTAGAGTATAAAGGCAACAAGTTGAAAATAATTATATACCCTCTAGAAGACCATCTCGGATGAATATCAAACTTTCAAACTCATCTCTTGACCAATAATATGATCTCCATTATACATTATGGTTGAAAAAATGTTTTGTGGAATAGAATCTAAGATTAAAATATACTTTTAAATTATTTAAAAATTAAGCAGAATTAGAATCACATCTTTATCGAATTAATTACATTAATAAAATTTAAACGTTTTAACAATAAAATTTTAAGTTAAAATCTTATTAATAAATTTTTTTAAGTAGGCTAACTGTAAATTTTTGTGGAACAATATCCTCACTCCTAAATTTTTTTTATTTATTTCGTAAAAAACTGCTAATAATAATGATCAATCTTGAATTAACAAAATTAAATAAAAGTAATAGGTGACCCACTTCACCTCCCACCCGTCCAATTTTATTGATGAGCATGATGATGTGTTCAATTTAATGGCTCCAACAAGCACCAACTCGCCACCAATCGTTTGCAAGAAAATTCTAAAAATTATTTTAAAAATCTCCATTTGTGTATTAAAAAGAAATTATTTTCATTTTAATTTCATTTTTTTGTTTGTATTTTTTTTTTTTTACCCTCCCAAACCGTTTGAAAACTCCAAGAAAGAGACCCTTCTTGATGAACTCAACTTTGTTGAAAAAAAAAAAAAAACCTTAACTTTGATTCTTCATCATCGGAGGCCAAATCCCAAAATTTTCCCTTTTTTTTTAAAAACATAAACAAACCCACACCAGCATTTTCTCTTCTCCCTGACCTCTCCATTTTCGTTTCCCTCCTCGTTATCTCCTCAGCTGAAAATTTCCTTCCTGGGTTTTGTTTATTTTCTAATACAGTGTCATAGTTTTTCTGGTTTGTTGCTATGTATAGATTTTGCACGGCTGCGTTAACATGCCTGCATGATTCGATGATCATATGGGTAGTATCAATCTGGGCTTGGTTTTTTTAATGGGTACTTTGTCAGATTGCACAAAAATCTAAGTGGGTTTTGGGACTTTGTTTGTATCTGATGTGTTCCATTTACTGTCCTTGCCCCCCCTTAGATCTGCTTCTGAGTATCCTCGATCCGCTGCTTTGTTCACGCTTCAACTGCGCCCTCAAGGTCAGATCATCCCGTTTGCTATTTCTGGTTGTTTCTTTGTGATTGTGTAAACTGGTTTCTAGCTTAATTCTCGATTTAAAATCCAGCAGCCCCAAATACAGTGATTGAGAGAAGTTGGGTTTCTGCTAATTTTTCCATAATCTGAGAATTTGATGATGTTCTGTTGCTGGAACAGTGATTTGGTAGTTAAGGGGTTTATTGGGTCTTTGGGATTTGGTTCAAGTTCTTTCATTTTGCATTTGCTCATGGTGCAAAGTCACATAAAACCCTTCTTATTAGAGGTCTGGTTTAGGGGGAATAAGGCGTAGTTAAAGGAAATGGGCAACGGGACTTCTCGTGTTGTCGGCTGTTTCGTGCCATTTAACGGCAAAAGCGGCGTTGATTTAGAATTTTTAGAGCCTCTAGATGAAGGATTAGGCCACTCATTCTGTTATGTGCGGCCTTCAATTTTTGACTCTCCAGCTATTACTCCATCAAATTCTGAGAGGTTTACTGTTGATTCGAGTACTCTTGATTCTGAGACGCTGAGTGGATCATTCAGGCATGATACCATCGATGATCCTTCATGCTTACAAAGGCAGAGCAAGAGTTTTCCTGAAACCACATTCAAAACCATCTCAGGTGCATCTGTCAGTGCTAATGTTTCAACTGCTAGAACTGGTAACCAGAGTGCAATGTTTGCTACTGATGTCCCAGAGCCTGCTGCATCATTTGAGAGTACCTCCTCATTTGCTGCAATACCTTTGCAGCCAGTACCACGTGGCTCTGGACCTCTTAATGGGTTTATGTCTGGACCTCTTGAAAGAGTATATGCTTCTGGTCCTTTGGATAGGGGGGCTGGTTTTATGTCTGGGCCAATTGAGAAAGGGGTGATGTCAGGTCCCCTTGATGCCACTGACAAATCTAATTTCTCTGCTCCACTTGCAAGGGGACGAAGAAGACCTCGCTTCCAGCGCCTCATGAGAAGTGTTAGTGGGCCAATGAGAAGGACCTTCTCTAGACATTCAATGGGGTATGGCTGGATGCAACGTTTTTTCTTCCTTCCAGTGACTCAATTGGCCTGGAATGCTAGGGAGCCGAAGTTTCGATCAGAAAACTCTCGGAATTGTCTAGAAGGTGGGCCTTCTGAAGGGGAGTATGGGAATAGTCGAAACTTGCAATGGGCTCATGGGAAGGCTGGTGAAGATAGAGTCCATGTGGTTCTTTCTGAAGAGCAAGGATGGTTGTTTATAGGGATATATGATGGTTTTAGTGGCCCCGATGCTCCAGAATTTCTGATGAGCCATCTTTATAAGGCCATAGACAAGGAACTGGAAGGACTGCTTTGGGATTATGAAGATAAATGTGGAAATGATCAATCAAAATCTGAAATTTCTAAGACTGGAAACCCTGATACTAGTTTAGAGTGCAGCAGAGAAGATCAGGCAAATTCTTGTGCTGGCCAACCAATATTTTCTAGCACTGGAGAAACAGTTAATCAAGAAATTGTCATGGGTCTATCATCTAACTCTGAAATAATTGAGGAAAATGATGAAGCAAGAGCTGGGGAATTACAGTTGTCCAATTGTAAGACAGCCAACAGTGCAGGTATCATATCTGATTCTGTTCCTGGTGCAAACTTAGGAGGTCGAGGAAGAAAAAGTATGCGACTTTATGAGCTGCTTCAGATGGAACGACGGGCTGGTGAAGTTTCTTCGTCAACCTCACAAATTGGAAGCCAAGGAAAGGGTTCTTCTGATTGCCAGTTGAATGTTGATAATTTGGAAAGGAAGGACTTGAATCACAAAGAAGATATGTCTAGCCATTGTGGTGAAGATCCCACTACTTCAGGAGAAGATGGGAGGGTTGGGCTTGATTCTGTTGATGGTGTCACTGCTGCTCCTTCTGTCTCATTGCAAAGGCAGAGTACAAAAAAGTCCTTGATTGGTTCTAAGATTAAAAAAATGTATCAGAAGCAGAAGTCATTACGTAAGAAGCTTTTTCCTTGGAGTTTTGATTGGCACAGAGAAGAAATATGTGTTGATGAGAGAATTGTTGAATACTCAGGAGCTATTAGGAGGTGTAAGTCTGGAATTGTTGATCATGATGCAGTTTTAAAAGCCATGGCACGAGCACTTAAAAGCACCGAAGAGGCTTATATGGAAATGGTGGAAAAGGCTCTTGACATTAACCCAGAGCTTGCTTTGATGGGGTCATGTGTTCTCATAATGTTAATGAAGGATCAGGATGTATATGTCATGAACCTCGGAGATAGCCGTGTGATATTGGCACAAGAAAGACCAAATGATCGCCACCCAAATCCAAATTTTGTGAGGGATGACATAAGGCATAGGAATAGATCAAGAGAGTCATTAGTGCGTATGGAGCTTGACAGAATATCTGAGGAGTCTCCCATGCATAACCAAACTAGTCAGGTTAGTATAGTAAACAAGAACAGAGACATCTCCATCTGCAGATTGAAG